CTTCTTCCTCCTCCTCCTCCTCCTCAACTTGAATCTGTAACACCTCTCCCAGTTCACTCCCCTCCCCTCCAATGGGGTTCTGGGTAGAAGCAGAAGACTGCACAGGAGCCTGGAAAGAGGAAGAGCGAATGCACCAACCTCCTGTTGATGATGCAGTGGAAAGAAGTGTGTGATAAGGGGTCGCTCCACGGGCTGACATTCCGCCACCTGAGGTTTCTAATTCTCGAAGAATCTCTGAGCACTGATCTACCACTTGCCACATCTGGAGGCCACTGGCCACAAGGAGGTGGGCAGGGAGAGCATCCAGTGGCAGGCGCAGGCGCCCTGAATAAATGAGCTGGAGCAGCCCCTCGAAGGCATCCGCTTCAATGACGCTGGGCAGGGTGAGGCGTGGGGCATCCCCCAGGAGAAGCTTGTCGTGGAAGTAAGGAGAGGCAGCAGCCAGCACTGCTTTGTGAGCCCGAAGTTCCCGGCCCTGCACCAGGAGGGACACATCACAGAACTTCCCCTCCAGCCTGTGACGGTTCAGGGCTTCCAGAAGCATTGAGCTGTGCTGAGGGAACTCGATCTGGATGGTCCGTGGGGCGGGGTTGCAGTTCGGGGACGGGGGGACGGGAGGCAAAGGTGCCGAGGTATCCATGGCCTCCACAGGAAGCGATCCCAGGGGATCGAGTCCCGGAGGTGAGGGGCAGGGGTGGACCTCACGCCGGGTGAAGGCTGTGGAGGAAAGAGACGGGGGTCACAGCAGCTCGAATAAGGAGAGCGCGTTGCCTCAAACACCACCTGCCTTCCCTACCCCCACCCACCGCGACCCGCGGAAACTTTTCAGTCAGACCAGTCCCGCGCGCTCCCCCACCAACACCAACCGGGTTAACTCCGGGGCCCGTGAAGATGGGGAGGTCCTCCAGCCACAGCAGGCTGGCCCGCCGCTCCGTCGCCCACAGGGCCCAGCTCCCGGGAAGCCGCTAGCGCCGTGAGGCACCTCAGGAGCCACCGCGCCGTCCCGGCCGGAAGCCGCCGCCTCCCCGACGCCGACGCCGACGCCGGATGCAGCGGGCGGGGCTAGAAGCAGCCAATTGGAGCCCACCCCCCTCGTGTTGATAGGCTGCGCGGGCGAGAAGGCGGGGCTAAGAGGCGGGGCTGGCCGCGCGCAGCCGGAGGGGCGGCTGGTGAGGCGCCTGGAGTTGCGGTGGCGCCGCGCCCCGCCAGGTGCTAAGGGGCGAGGGTAGGAGGGCGCCTGCTGAGTGGGCTCCGCATTGTCCGCGCCGCCCGGGACGCACCCCGCCTGCGAGGCGGGTGTTGCCTCCTGTTTCCTCCGCTTGGCAAGTGGTAGGTCTGGGATTGGAACCCAATTCGCTAAGGAACCATGTTCTTTCCTCCATTCCGCTTGGGGACATTTTAACCAGCAATGAAACCTTATTTCTAGGTAATTACTTTCTCTATTTTTTATTTAATATGTTCTTATTGATTTCAGAGAGGAAGGGAGAGAAACATCAATGATGAAAGAGAATCATTGATTGGCTGCCGCCTGCAGGCCCCACACCTGGATGGAGCCCACAGTCCGGCCACAGCCGGGAATCGGCCGGTGACCTCCTGGTTCGTAAGTCCATGCTCAGCTCCGGAGCCCGCCTGCCAGGTGGTAATTCTTTCTCTAAAGGATGCTTGTAGATAGAGACTTGGAATCTTTTATCAGAGAATGCTCCTGTTCCTTGGCTTGGGGTTAAGTGGGGCAGTGTGGAGGGGAGAGCTACACTGGGTTTGGCCAGTGCAAAACCCTGTTAAAAAACAGACAGCAAGTCCCAAATGGAGTCATTTGCGCCAAGCCCATGTCTCAAACTAAGACTTAATACTTAACCTAATTGCAGTTTCACTTTCTCCCTGGAATGTAACCTTCAGCCATTCTGCCCGGGGTTACCTGATAGACCCCTTCCGTGTGGCTTAGGAGGGCGACATTGTCTAAAACAATGTTCTTAGCCAATCATTTCCTTTTCCCACCCCTTTCTACCTTTAAAACCATTTCTTTTCTGCAGCTGGGCTGAGCTATTTGTTGGATGGGATGCTGCCCAATTCATGAATCAGTGAATAAAGCCAATTAGATCTTTACATTTACTCAGTTGAATTTTGTGTGTGGTTTTTGTAACACCCTGCTCTAAAGCAGGAAGTCTGGCTGGGGGGAGAGTGACACTCCCGGAGGAGACCGTCTTGCACGGGGATAGTTCCTCCAGGGCTGTGGGTCTCCTTTCAAAAAGCAGGTCTTATCACCCTGTTGGTCCTCCTGGAGGCCCCAGCTTAGGAAAGCCAGCAGAGAAATAAAAGAACAATCTCCGTTTATTAAACATGGTTTTTCAGTTTCACCACACACTCCAGAAAAAAAGGAAATGGGCTGGGAGTGGAGAAAAAGGGACGGCGGTAGGGGTAGAGAAGGCTGGGAGGGGGGTTGGGTAGGGAGGGAAAATGAGAAAACAAAATAAAACCAGTAGGGAGATGCCTCTCCCTACCCTTAGGGTGGTGGGTGGGGAGGGTAGCATGGGGGAGGGGGCTAGGAAGCTCTGTACACAGGGGTTGCCCCCAGCCCCCACACACACACCCCAGATATGTACAGTACAAACCCCAGATAATTACAACAGCCAAATAAGAGGAGAAAGGGCGGGGGGGGGGGGGGGTCCCAGGTAGGGTCTGAGGTTGGGAAAGCAAGGAAAGGGCACAGGGATAAAATTTCACATATTTACAACTTTTATATAAGTATAAATTTGGCCCCGGCTGGGTGTATGTGATTAGGGGGAGGGGACTGAAGGGGAACTGTCCATACAAAAGAAAGAAGGGTGGAGTCTGCGAAGTCTCAATACCAAACGCAAGAAGGGATGAGGGGGCAAGGCTGGGTAGGGGATAGCAGTCAAGGAAGAGGGGTGTCAAGAAGGGGGTTCTCCCCTCTCATGACCTACCCACCCCAAACCCCATCCATCCTACCTCCCCTATCCCGCCAGAGAGCTATGTACAGAGAAACACCGAAAAATTGTGGAGCTGGCGGGAGGGAGGGAGGGAGGTGGAGGGAGATTGGGAAGGGGGGAGAAGAGAGGGTAGCCCAGCCCTGTCCTACCTCCCCCAGGGGACAGAGTCATGGAAAGAGGCCCCCAACACCCCTCTTCCACACAGGTCCCCCCACCCTGGGGGAGAGAGACATGGCTTTTCCTAGAGTAAGTTCCCCCGTCCCCCTGGGAGTAGAGACCATGAAGAGAGAGGGGAGGGGCAGGGGGGGCTGTGTGTCATGGTAGGGCAGATCAGCTAGTCTGTCCTCCCCAACATACACACCCTCCTAAACCCTAACCCCTCACCCTAACCTCAATTCCACCCCACCCAACACACTGGGGGAGGGGGGGGCATCAGCCCCCTCACCCCGCTCTGGGACCAGCCAAGAGCAGATCAGGTGTGGGAGGAAGGGGAGACAACTCCCATTCCCCCCTTGCCGCCCCCACCCTGCCCCGGTGGCCCCTCCACCCCATCTGGGTTCTGGGTGGGGAGGGAGTAAATTTAAGAGTGGTAGGATGAGAAGGAGTTTGTGCGTGCTGAGCCCCCCCAGACGCTCCTGAGAAATCAAGGGGTAGGGCCCCCTCACCCGGGGTCCCCTCCCCATAACAAGGGGGACAGGGGAGGCCAAAATGGGGCAATGGAGGGGAGTTAGATTGTCAGCTCTGGTTACTGCTAAAAAATCACCCTGAAGTTGAAAGTTTGGAGGTGCCACACCCCCAGGGTGGGGGCGAGGGTCTGTCCCCCAGTGCTCAGGGGAACGATGAGGCAGAGGATGGGGATAGCACCCCGGAGTGAAGGGGTCAGTGTGGGGTAGGTGGTGTCCTGGGGCAAGGGTCCTTGGGGATCACAGGGGGCAGCACCCCAACAGGAAGGAAAGAGGGGCAGCTAAGGGTCCCCGCTCTCCCTCCTGGAAACGGTGCAGTGGGGGTGGGGGACTGGTGCCCCCAGGAAGCATTCAGGGAGGCAGTCCCGCTGTCCTTCGGCGAAGTCCAGTCCCGGTGGTCGGTGCTGTCCGAGGTGGGGTGATGGGCAAGGAGGTCTGTGATGCTGGGTGGGCTAGTGGTCTGCGGTGTTTCGGAACTCGCCGTTCTCGGTGATCTGCAGCCGGGGTGGGGGGGGCGGGACTGGGGGGGCCAGGCCGTTCCAAGGTGGGGCCAGCGTCACACGCGGGTTTGTTGGACCCAAGGGGGGAAGCTGCCTCTCCTGCAAGACACCAAAGGGGAGAGCGCGGACTTATTGAGACGCATCGCAGTGGCCTGGGTGCCAGCCCCCTCGCAGTGGCCTCCCCCAAAGCCAGCCCACGCCATAGGCCACGCCCCATCCTCTTCCCCCAGGACCACCGCACACCCCCTCCTGTTTCATTTCTCACCTTCAGTAGAAGTTCCTTCTTCTGGGATCAGGGAGAAGGAATCTTACCCCAGACTCCTAATAGGGCCTTCAACCCAGGAGTCACGGCAGGACACCAGCTCAAAAGCAAGTTCCTCCCCCTGGCCCACCCCTTGTTCCTCCTGCCCAGCCCACCTCCTCCTCTGGGAGCCTTCTCCCAGCCCACCCCCATCCAAGTAGGAACTTTGTGTTGAGGGAACAAGGGGAGGCAGTACAGCAAAACCTCATTAATCCAAACCCCCATGGATTTGGAATTTTTTCATAATTTGAATAAAAACTGGGCTTGAGTTTTCCTTTATCTATGAAGAAAGGGTGTGCTAAGCAAATTAATAGTGGCAATGTGTCTGTGGGAGGAATATTTAACCTATACCAGAAAACAGACTTTTCAGTCCTATCTATTCATTAACGCATGCTCCCTGAGGGCGCGAGGAGAAAAGCCTATTCATTGAAGTTTACTTACTGTATATATTTGAAGACATGCATTTCATTAAATAGACACTGTCATTCAGTTTTGTCACTTATTCAGAGTAGCCATCTTCTCAAATATAACATTCCAAATTAGAGAGGTTTAACTGTACTGGGGGGAAAGGAAGGGGATTCAGGGAAGTGACGTGGGAGGGCTGCCTCCCTCTCTCTCTCTCTCTCTCTCTCTCTCTCTCTCTCTCTCTCTCTCTCTCTCTCTCTCAACACAACAGCCTGGGAGCCCTGCGGACACAGCAGGCCCCAACCTCTGCAGCCACAGGAAGCGCACATGCTTCATTCCTTCCCACCCCCGCGTTCCTTTCACTCCCTCTCCCTGGGCTCCCATTAAAGGTGAGGGTACCAGACCCGACCCCATCCCTGGTCCTGTATCACCCCTGCTGCTCGGCCCTCTGCTGGGAGAGGAGAAGGCAACCATCGGCACTAGGCTTCTGGTTGCTCACTTGCCTTACAAATACGGGCACAGGGTAACCCGCTTTGGGCCCCTGCCTCCTGCCCTCTTGCAGCAGGAAGTCTATCTGTCCCCCAATAAATTTTGTTTCCGCCAACCGAAAAATAAAATCCAGGCGCAGAATTAACTTTTAAATTAATGGCTGCGTTGTAGAGCAGCCAGTGCCTAGAAGTGCTTTAGCAAAAGCTTCCCAATTACTTCCTGGGCCGCAAGGCATTTAGGCCTGGCCCCCGTTATGTCTGACCTTCTCTCCGAAGGATACAGCATCCTCCAGGTGGAAGCTCCCACTCAGCTCTCCCTCCCAAATCACAGCCTCCAAACCCCCAGCCACAAACAAAGCTGCCTCGCTCGCTTCCCACAGTCAGCAAGGGAGGGATGGCGGGCGGCAGGGAAAGAAACCTTAGATGCCGTCCCTCTGCGTGGCTGCCGGGCATGCCCCCTCGCCCCCATGGACCCCATTTAGAAAGTAGATAAATTGGGGTGCCATTACTCATTTTCCAAAGGAATTCGCTGCAGGAGCCCTTTCCATGGCGAGGTCCCCAGTGCCTTTCAGGGTCTGTTTACAGACCACTAAGACTTGGACAGGAGGCTGGGCAGGCAGAGTTAAAGTGACAGTGCGAGGAGCCACTGCCTGCCGCAGACCAAGCCCACAGAAAATAAGGCGCTCAGAAATGAGGTCAGTGGCCGACAGGTTCCCTTGACTAGTGTTTTATGTAGGATTGTGTCTGCAAGGCCACTGGGTGGCGGGAGAGGGGGAGCGAGTGGCATTAGCCACCTGGGATGTGAGCTCTGACGAGAAGAACAGGGGTTATTTAACATGCTGCTCCTGGCACCTGTCTGGGGGCAACATGGCCACGGAGCCTGTGACCTTATCGAGAAGCGGTCTCAGCCCACCGCCAGCTGCCACGCCACTAGGGCCCGTCCGCGTGCTCACAACTGTCACGGCTTCTTGCTCCTCCTGCTCCACTCACCCTGCCTACTGGCCTGACATCTGAACAGAAGTCTTTCCAGGCCCCCAGGGCCTCCCCGAGTTAACGAGCTCCTCCTAATTCCCACCTCATAGGGCTGCATAGGAGCCCAGATCCCTTCTACCTCACAGATGCAAGAAGGAGAGAGAAGTGGGTGAGAGGTGGAAGGAAGGAGGGTAGAGAACGAAGGTTAGGTAAGGAAGAGGAAACCCCAACCTACCTGCTGTGGTCAGAGCAGCCCCTCTAGCAAGGGTGCCCCAACCCATCATCACCACTCCCCGTTCACAAGCCCCACCCCAACAGCCCCACCCCCCAAGGACGCTCTGGTGAAATGGGGGGTGACAGACATACACTGGAGAGGAAGAGGAAGGGGCTGACAGGAGGAGGCTGGGGATGGGTTCTGTGGGAAGGGAGTGTGGTCTGGCAATGCACGGCCTCCAGGGTAGATGCCTGGCACTTGAAGGAATCACCTAGCGACCGGGAGGCCGCGGGAAGCTCTCTCTGGGCAGCGCCTCGGGAGATGGTCTGTGCAGAAGGTGCCAGGGCAGGGTCTGTGGAATGCGCAGGTGCGGGCAGCAGTGAGGGGGGAGGCTGTGGAGAGTCGGAGGGGAGTGGGCTTCGGGAGTGACCAACCTGCAGTGGTCCGGAGTCACCTCCCCCTGTGTCCTCCGCCCGTGGTCAAAGAGCAACCCGGAGAACTACCTGATGAGGAGCTGCAGCGGGAGAGAGTGGGGTCATGGGGTCAGGAGCTGGGAGGGTGGGAAGCCTGGCCGGCGGAGCAGGAGGAAGAGCCTGGTGGGAGAGTGAGCAGACTTGGGGGAGAGCAAGGGGCAAGAGTGCGTGGGAGGCCCCACAGCTGGCTGGTGAGAAGAGGGAGGGCAGCAGAGAGGTGCAGAGCTGGTCAGGTGTGAGGGCCAGAGGCGGCTGGACTTACACCCGCGGGCGGGAGAGCTTACAGGGTGGGAGGGTTCAAGTTCTGAAGAGCCAGGAGGACTAGGCAGGGGCTGCCCAGGAGTCAGGAAAACTGGGGGGCCAAGAGAACAGAGGATGGAGACCCCAAGTCCCCAGGGCCCCCGGAGCCTGGGGAACGAGCAGCCACGCTGCCCTGTGCTCTTTGCTAGTGAAATGCAGCGCTCGGCCAGGGCTAGCCACCCTCCGAGAAGAGCGCTGAGGAAGCTGAGCCCCGGGCGGGAGCAGGCACAGGAGGGCAAGGCTCCAGGAGCTGGGTGTGGTGTGGGGCAGAGCGAGGTTCTCGCAGGTCCTGAGACACGGACAGAAGTGGGAAAGAGGGCGGGAAGGCACGGGGGGGGGGGGGGGGGGGGGGGGGGGGGGGGGCTGACACGGCCAGGAGTGACAGAGGCACAGACGATGGGATGAAGATGGGGTCACTGAGGGGCTGCTGGGGGCAGCCAGTGGACACACGGAGGACAATGGGAGAGACAGACGTCAATGGGGCTGGGGTGCTGGTGCAGTGAGAGCACGAAGGACCGTGGGATGGATGGGGATGGGACACGGAGAAGATAAATGACATTGTAATTTCCACCTGAGCGTCGAGCAGCCTCTTCTTGGGCTCGGGCAGCGGCTCAGCCATGGTGGGGTGGTCCCGGCGCAGCTCCTCCTCCACCAGCATCAGCCTGAAGGGACGGGCTTCAGTGGGGTTAGTGGCGGGCACTACCTGCCCAGGGAGCTCCTGACTCGGGCGCCGTGCAGCTCTCGAGCACCCTCCGCCCCTGCCCCAGAATCCCTCCACTGTCCGCTACTCACCCTCCCCTCAGGGACCCTCACATCCCCCTAAGGACAGCTTTCTGAGCGTCTACCATCCACATACGCCAGGCCGTCCGCTCCCATTCAGGGCAGCGCCCTCCCAGGCCCCCAGTGGCTGAAGACCTGGCTCTCATGTCCCCCATTCCACCTCCTGTGTAGCCCCTGATGCCCCTCACCCAAGAGGTCCTCTACAATCACTGTTATCCCAGCGTCTCTCTGCCTTTGGTAGACCCTCAAGGTGATTTCTCATAACGGACAGCAATTAGAGCAGTGGTTTTCAAAAGTGTCCAATGAAGTCTTGTTCTTCTAATTAATGTTACTCAAAAACACTTTAAGAATGAATCAAAATGGAGCTGGCTCTGAATGGAGTGAGGCCCAGGGTCCCTCCCAGTTCTCAGGATAACTGAGCCCCGTGCTGGGACACCTCCGCTGGAGCCCAGGGCTGCACAGAGCAGCTAGGAATGTGCAGACTTTATAAAGGGGCATCCTTTTCTACCGAACACCCTTCCAAGCCCGGGGCCCAGGACGGGATGGTCAGCGGCTGCTCTGGACAAGGATCCCTGACTGGGTCTGAGGTGGACAGCATGGCCTGGGTTGAAAGTCACAGTGGCGGTTGGACAGTAACAAGCACACGTTCCGAGGGCTTCAGAAGGTCCTCCATCGGGGACACTGACTACACTAAGCAAGGGGTTTCTCCCCTCTGGTGGGTGAGTGTAGGGGTGTCCGGAGTTGGGGTCAGGGGCTCTCTTCAACCTCAAGCTCTCCCTTGCTACCCCTCCCCGGGCCGCCCCTCACCTGCCAATGATGCTCTTGATCTGCGAGTCCTTCTCCACCTGCTGCTGCCTTAGCCTCTTCTCGCTCTGCTCCAGCCGGGCCTGATACTGCATCAGGATTTTGCTGGTCTGCTCTTCCTGGGACAGCAGTCTCCGCTCATACTCTTCCAGCTTCCGGTTGGACATGTGCAGCCGCTCCTTCAGGGAGTGGATCTCCTCCTCGTACTCCTTCACCTGCCCGCCGGGCACACGACCCCGCACTGTGAGAGGCGCCCTGCCCTCACCCCGCCACCCTGCCCCAGCCCTGCCTGCCAAGAACAGCTGCTGCCAGGGTGAGGATGACATCCCAACCACCTCCTCCAGCCCTTTCCCTGCCGCCTGATCATACGTACACACCCACTTTTTTGAAGGCCCCACCATGGAGCTGAAGATCCCTTACAATGGAGCAGGGTCACAGACCCCACACCCCGAGGGGTATATACATGCCCTCACATGTGCACCTGGACACAGGAGGCCCCACTCAGGAACCCACACAGACTCACAGACACAACCTGAATTTAAAGCTAAGGGGACTCCTCAGCCCTACCCCAGGCCACAGAGCCTGGGGAAGACCAGGAAGGAGAGACACTGGCTGGGGAGAGGAAGGCTGCACCCTGGGGCAGAAGGTCTGGGCCTCAGGGGAGTCCGGGCTGAGAAGCTCCGAATGCCTCTCTGCTGATAGTGAAGTGGGATTCCGAGGCTGGAAGGGCTCGGAAGAGTCATTCTGTCTGCCCTACTGGCTCTAAAGCCTGGAGCTGTGCTGTCCAATACAGTAACTACTAACCACGCGCAGCTATTGAAAAATTAAGTAAAAATTAAAACGTCATTTCCCCAACTGCACCAGCCACGTGGCCCGTGGCCACCATATTGGACAGTGGGGACCACAGAACCTTCCACCACCACAGAAAACTCTACTGGACAGTTCCAGGCGAGAGAGAGCCTTCCTCCACAGGCCCCTCACCCAAACTGCCAACAGAAACACTGATCTGAGAGACGGTCCTCTCGTCCGAAGAGCGCACACAGCCAGGCGTGCTGGGTGAGGCGGGATGCGAACTCCCTGCCAGCAGGGCCGTTCTCTCCTGGGGCTTGCTAACCAAGTCCACCTAAGTCGGCCCCAACATTTCCTCCGTCAAACCCCAATTCCCCCGAGAATCCGCTCTCTACTCCCCAAGCTGGAGCCATGCACTCTCTCCCTATCGCCTAACCCTGCAGCCACGCTCTCCTTCAAGGTTCTTGGAGCAATGGCTTCACCAGGGAGCGTGCTGCTAAGCCGCTGTGTGTGCTGAGCTCTGGCTGTCTTTTGCTCTGGGCCACCGCCAGCTGGGGGTCCTGGATGGCCTTTTCCCACATGGGCCAATACACACTACTGTACACCACCAACCCTCTGCCACCTCTGCCCATGGGGCAGTGACTGGGCAAAGCGGCCGTCGCTTACAGTGCATCTCAACCCCTCTACCCCGCCCAACTGGCCAGCTGGCTGCTAGTAAAGTGACTTTCCCACTCCTGAGTGGCCACAGGGGCCCGGACTACGTTCTCCCTGAGGAAGAGCATGGGGCGCGCCTGCCACAGAGCCTGTTCCTCCCCAGACGGGCTATGATGTGTATAACCCACAAAACAGAGTAGGCACTGAATTCTCAACGGAGAATCGTATCTGCTCTCCCCTAACAGACCGAAGGCTTCTCAAGACAGGGGGTCAAGTCTTTTCCTTTTCTTCCCACCATAACTACCTGATCCTGGCTGTTGCCCTCGGCAATGCCAAGGGCAGGGCAGGGCTGGGGGCTGGCGTACCCTGTCCAGCCGGCTCTCATCCATTGACTTGGAGTACTCCTTGAGCTTGTACTCCTCCCGCTCGATGTGGGCACTCTCGATGTCAGCCGACAGGTGAGGCATGTTGGAGACCCAGGCCACCGTCCGCTCAGAGGCTGGCATTGTGGGGTTCAGCGTGGATGGCGTCTGAGAATGCTGGGACAGGGCAGGTGGGGCACAGAGAGGGAGGGTGGGAGAAGGCAGGGTGCATTTAGAGCGAGCACTGCCAGGAGACGGGCCCTAGCCCTGTTCCCCTGCTCGAGCTCTGACCACCTGTGAATGCTAGGCAAGCTATCGCGCCTCCCGAGGGCGAGCTTCCTGCGGGCAGGGCCCTTTGTCTGCCGCTCACTGCCAAGTCACAGCGCCCAGAGCAGCACACGGCACACAGCAGGCTCTCCCACACACTTGTGTAACGAGTGGAAGGAGGTGAGAAAATTGTAAGTTCAGACCACAAACTCTAATCTACCTCTACCTCCCCCACCCGTTTCCTTCTTCCCCCCTGCCTTCCTCCCAGCCTCACCTACCTGCTTGGTGATGGAGGGCTTGAGCCCCCCACCCCCTCCGCCACCGCTGCCCCCGCTGCCCCCAATGCTGCCCTCCTTGCTGAGGCTCTGTTGCCGTGGACGGGCAGGGCCGTAGCTCGGCTCCGGCGACTGTAATAGATTCCCGCTGGATGGCCGCGGTTTCTGGGCAGCGCTGACTGTCAACTGCTGAGACTTGCCCCTCTGCAATGGGGGCGGCTGGCCCCCGCCACCCCCACCACTGCCCCCTCCGCCGCTCCCACCTCCGGGCCCTGAGGGGGCAGGCCTCTGGGGACCAATGGTGATCTGGGGAGGGGACAGCATGTGCTGCAGGTTGTCCTGTAGTGAGAGCTGCCGACGGGTGAAGTCAGTACCAGAGGGTCCGAACTCATCACTGTAGCTGTGACTGTGAAGGATGGAGGCGGCAGGGGGCTTGGGGACCCCCGAGGAGAGGTCCTCGCTCTTGCTATAGCCATGGAATGGGGCGAAGGTGTCCCCTGGGGGCTCTCCACCTCGGTGGTGGTGATGGTGGTGGTGGTGGTGATGGGAGGAAGGTGGAGCGTGGCCACCGCCCCCTCCGTGGCCCCCTGGGGGGCCTGGCCCATCAGCAGCCATGTGGAAGAGAGGGTTCTGGAAGGAGAGGGGGATGCGCAGTTGCTGGGCAGGAACACCGTCCGTGGTGACACCCATCTGGCTGAGGCGCATGCCAGCCGCGGTGATGGACGAGCCGCTGCCCTGGGAGAGGCGCCCGGCAGGGGCAGGCCGCAGCCCCAGGGCGGCGGTCAGGGAGGCCTGGCTGGAGTGCAGCAGGTCCCCGACAGCCGCCAGGTTGGACACGCTGCTGCTGTTGAGGCGGCCCCCGGGCCCGTCCCCCTGCAGATCCAGCATGGACACGCTCTTGTTGACACTCAGCATCTTCTGCTCCGGCTCTGTGATGTCCGAGCTGCTCGTGCAGTACGCTGGCGAGGACCGGGCCAGGGGCGGGCGGCTCACGTAGAACAGGTCTTTCCCCCCGCCAGGCGGTGGTGGGGGCGGCTTTTCCTTGGTTGGGGAGGGGAGGCGAGCCATGTCCATAGAGCTGTCGGAGGGAAGGGGCACACAGCGGGAGGTGAGGCCCAGGCGGCTGGCAATGGAGCCGCTGTGGTCTGGCACAGCCCTGAGGTGAAAGTGGGACCCTCAAGGGAAGGGCTAAGAGCTCCGGGCAGGGCAGGCAGGGAGGATGGGAGGGGTACGTGGGGAAAGGAAAGGACAAGACCCCTGCCAGGAGGGAGCGGGGCCCAGAGGAGTGGAGATGGGGCAGCAAGTGGAGGGATGAGGGGCAAGTCTGGGTAGATGTGGAGGAGATGAGGGTGCATGGAGGAGGAGCGGAGAGAAGGAAGGTGGAGGCCACTGGAGTGGGAGACAGGAGATGGGGAGGGGAGGGGAGAGCCCCTCACCTGTTGAGGCCTCGCGCCATGAAGGACTGAAGGTCGATGGAGCTGGAGAGAGATGGAAAGAGGGGCAAGCACAGACAGAGAAGGAGAGAGGTGGGGAATATGGCACGGATGTCATGGAGGGAGAGGCAGGCAAGGAATGAGCAGGGTGGCCATCACCATGAGCAGCCACTGAGGTGGGCGCCACCCATCGGAGCGGTGGCTCAGGAGGCCCTGCTGGGGCCAGGTGTGGCTCCCCAGCCCTGGGCGTGGCGAGGTCTGTGGGGGCTGGTGGGGGCTGGGGCAGTGCTTCTTTCCAACTCGTACAGAGATATTCTGGGTCGGCCGGTTGGACACCACATGGCTGATCCAACATGCACTGGCTGAACCCCAGCTCAGCGCCGGCAGTGGACTCCCTGGCTGGCTCACCTCCTGGGGCCCACAGTGTTTGCGCCCCCTGACTCTGGGGGGGCTCTCACAGCCTAGCGCTGCCTGGACCTGCCTCCTCACCGTGTCCTCGGACTCCTGCTTCTCTTTCTTTCAAGCCCCACAGAGGCGCACGTGGAGCCCAGTGAAGTGCATTGGAAACAGAATGGTGGGGTCCCAGGACACAGGTGTGGGGTCCCGCAGTGCTCACCTGTTGAGGTCCCGCATCATGTAGCCCTGCATCTCGGCCGACGGGCCCCGCAGCACCACGGGCTGAGGCCGCGGCCGCTCGCTCTGGCGGCTCGGCTGCCTTTGGATATTGGGGTTCCTCAGAGCCGTGCTGATGTCATTGAGGAGCCGGGGCAGTGGGCCCAGCTTCAGGAGGGCTTCCTGGAAGGGGAAGGCTGTTATCTGGGGGCGAAGTGCCCAGCTCTCCAAGGGCCTTGGGGGGGGGTGGCTGAGCTGCGGGCAGGCAGCGGGGACATGCTATGCAGGGGCCTCTGCAGACAACGGGGACAGGGCAGAGGGGCATCTGCTGACCTTGCTGAGCTGGGGCAGCACCTCCCAGAGCAGGGCATGCAGTGTGGAGAGCTCTCGGCCCAAGTCGATGTAGCCCTCAAAGCTACTGCTGTTGGTCAGCGTGTCCAGGTTGGAGATCTCATACAGGAACTGCTGCATGGAACCCCACTCCAGCTCCAAAAACTCGTTCATGAACCCCAGAAAGTCCTCCTTTGAGGTAAACCTGCCGAGGCATCCAGGCGAAGGTCACAGACCAAAGGCCATACACCCCCGTGTCCCAGGCCTCTGGGCACTCGGGAGACCCCCCTGCCCACCCCACCCGAACCCTCCTCACTTGGAAAAGTTGGCCAGGTTCTGGATGACCTTGGCGATGAGGGTGAGGGTTCGTGAGGTCTGTTCATCTGGATACTCCTGCATGAGCCCGAAGAGACTGGGCGACATGATGGCGGGGCAGAGGAAGCGCAGGAAGAGCGAGGCGCTAATCAGCCGGTCAGCGATGTCCTCCCGACCCCGCTCTGCGCAGCGCAGTCGCCAAGATGCAAACACCTCCTTCAGCTCCCTCGGGAACACGCTGGGGGGAGGGGTGGGGAGACAGAGAGAAAGAGAAAGAAAGAGAGAGACCAGGACTGAGCCCCAGAGACCCTCAGCTTCCAGGGAACATGCCGAGGAGGTGGCAGGAGGTGCGGGTGTGGAAACAGGTGAGAGACAGGCAGGGAGGGGCCGCAGGGGGAAGACGGGTGGCCGCTGGGAGAAGAGGGCTATGGCAGAGGGACAGACAGATCAGGGGAGAGAAATGGAGGGCAGAGAAGGCGAGGGGAGAGACACGTGGGAGAGACAGGGGTCGTGTGAGAGAGACGAGCAGAGAAGAAAAACAGACACCAGGGAGAGACAGAGATGGGAGAGAGATGGAGGGTCACTTGAGGTACAGGGAGCTCGGACCCCCCAACTCTTCTGAATTCCAGGGAAATGAGGCATGACCCATCCCTGGAATGGCTCAGAGCTCACTGCCCCATCTCCTGCTCCATGCTGCACTTGAACTCTGCCTCTGGTAAAACAGGGCTCACTAACCCTAACCCTCACTCCCACACCTCCGACTGGCCCCCGACTGGCCCCCGACTCCCGTGGTTCTGTCCATGAGGCCACAGGCCTCCTTTCCAATCGCTGACAAAAGCTGCTGATCCTTTCCTTGCAGGGTCTTTCCCCCAGCCCTTCTCCACTTTCCTGCCACACCCCCTCGGGGTCTGATCCCCATGCCTGACTGGCCAACTGTAGCCCCAACTACCCTGGACTTCCTTCTCCCGGCTCCAGGCACCCCCACCCCCACCTACTTCTTCTACCTACTTCTCAGTCACCATACTTCTTGGCACCAGCACCATTCACAACAGCCCATCACCTACAACAGCCCCTCACCTACGAATGAACTCAAACTCCTTAACCTGGCAACCGAGGCCTTCCAGATTCTAGTTCTAACCCCTCTGTCCAGACACCTGTCCCACCACTCTCCATCTGCAGCCATGCGCTCCACCAAACCGTGCTAACCGCTGCCTCCTGAAAGCTCCTGGGCCTGCTCACCATGCGCGCACCTTCGGCCATGGCCCTCTCCTGAAATGTCTTCTTTCCCCACCATATCCAAACGTCAGAACTTGACCCACTTTTCAAAGCCCAGCCAAGGGGGCACCTCCTCCACGAAGCCTTCCCTGCTTTATCACAAAGCCCTGCCCTCTCTGACCTGATATTACATGGGGGACCCTCACTTGGCACTTAGCACAGCCTACAACTGCTTGCAGCTCTAATCTGTCCCTACTCCTCCTGGGGAGGTCCTCTGAAGGTAGGGGCCAGGCCTCACTCCTCTGCCTGCTCTTACTGCACCCAGCCCAATGCTTTGCCCGTAACTGGTCCTCAGTCCTCTTTGAGGATGGACAGATGGATGAACAGATGACCACACGGCTCCCCTGCCCCCGCCCCCAACCCAGCGTTCCCAGTCTCACCAATGGGAGTTGACCACCTTGCACAGGGCCAACTCACAGCACATTCGCAGGTTGGCCTGGTGCTCTGCCAGACTGGACGCCGTGCACTTGATGGGGTCCACCTCACAGTTCTCCTCAGACTCATACAGAGCTCGGATAAATTCCCCTGCGGAGCACAACGGGGTCACACTCTGGGGCAGGGGCAGGGGCAGGGGCAGGGGCAGGGGCAGGGGCAGGGGCTGCTGGGCGGGGGAATCTCAGAACCAGGTGGTTGGATGCTGGCACCCAGAAACTCTGGGGTCAGAGGCATCAAGCCTTGAGGAAGGGTGGACTTGGGGTCTGGAGTAGCCAGGTCTAGGGCTGGATGGACATCTGGTAGGTTTAGGAAGAAGAGGCCTGAGGGTGGGCCATACCAATGGCATCCTTGAGGTATTTCTGACCAATCAGTCTCATGTACTCTTCTATGGCTTTAGTGGCGAGCGTGTTCTCGCGGAATATGAGGTGCTCCCGTTCCATGAACCTGTCCACCTCAGACATGGCCATGTCTGAAAGGAAGTCCTGGGCCCGGGAAAATCCAAGCGTCAGCTCCCGAACAGCCAGCCTTACGAAGACAGAAGTGCCCGCTCCCGGGTCGCCCTTTCCCACCAGCACAGCACTCACCTTGGCCTTGCCCGTGCTCTGCAGGATGTGGACCAGGGCGCTGGCGACCTCCTCCTTGCCCTTGACGTTCAGGGCGGGCTCCAGGACTGCACACAGCATCCGGTAATGGTTGGTAACATACTCTGCAAACTCCTTATACAGCTCCATGGGCAGGATGCTCATTGTCTGGTAACGTGCTTTCAGCCGCACAGCCGGGCAACCTCCTTTGCCCTTGCCCCCTGAACCACCCCCTGAGCCCCCGCCCCCTCCTGAGCCCCCCATGCCCCCAGAGCCCCCACTGCCTGTCGGCAGGGTTACGGGGTACCACTGCTCTGTGAAGTGGCGCCCAGCCAGCGTGGCCACGGGCACAGTCACCAGGCCCACATAGCCCGCCTTGTCCTTCTTGCGCTTTTTGTCTGAGTCACGGTACAGATGCAGCCGCAGGGCACGGACAGCTGGCAGGTTGTTAAACTCGAAGTGCTCGCCCCAGAAGACGGTGTCCCCCGACGCCGAGCGGGGCTTGGAGGTGGTGCGCGCGTACAGCATGTCATCCAGGCAGAGCTCACAGTAGTACCGCTTCTTGGGGGGCAGCTCCCGGGCCTCTATGATCCACAGCTTCAACACATTGTCCACCCGGCGGCTGTTGTCCTGGCAAGGTGGGTGGGCATGGCCGATAGAGGGGAAGGGACAGAGGGACAGAGACATCGAGAGAGGAGAGACAGCGAGGACGTGAGAGGCAGCAACCGCAAAGCGGAGCTCATGCTCACTTGGAGCCTGCGAAGGGGCTTATTTGGAAATGGGGTCTTGCAGATATGACCACACTGAGGAGCGTGACCCAGGGTTAGTGTGGGCCCTAGGCCCCAGGACTGGCGTCCACATGGAGGGAGACATGGAAACCAGAGACACTCAGAGGGAAGGTGGCCACGGCAGGTCAGTGGCAGCAGAAACTGGACAGATGCAGAGACCGCCGCTGACCACAGAGCTCGGAAGAGACCAGGAAGGGTTCTTTCTAGAGCTTTGGAGGGAGCCAGGCCCTGCCTACACCTTGACTTTGGATTTTTAGCCTCCTGAATTGTGAGAGAATAAAGTTCTGTGTTTTAAGCGGCCCATTTGTGGTAATTTGTTACAGCAGACCTAAGAAATGGCATCAGTATTGGGAAAGATTTTAAAGCTAGAATAACAAGCCAAAAACATTAAGGTAGAATTTGAAGGGGAGAACTGGGAAGTCCTTCAAAGACAATCAGAACTTATTTTTTAAACAATAAAAGAGCTGCATAAATACAGGATGGGGGAGGTGACACAGCTGGTGTGAAAGGGCTTGGGGTACAACTGACACCAGAGCGTGGGAGGCTGAGGAGACCTGCACCATGAGCAGCCGAAAAAGGGGGGTGGGGGTCAGGGGGGGGGGACCACAGGGTTACACCACATTCATCATCTTTTTTTTGTTCTTGTTGCTAATCCGGACCTGAGGATATCTTTTCCATTGATTTTTAGAGAGAGTGGAAGGGATGGGAGAGACAGAGAGAAACATTGATGTGAGAGAGACACATCAATTCGTTGCCTCCTGCACTGGGGCCAGGGATTGAGCCTACAACTGAGGTACATGCCCTTGACCAGCACCGAGGCTGTGACCCTTCACACTTCAGGCTGGCACCCTAACCACTGAACTAACCAGCCAAGGCGCATCTTGGGTTTAATTCTTTAAGAAGGACACAAAGAAACAAGGGTTCCCCCAGGATGGCCAACAGCCTGTGAACTCACTGGAAAATGGGGTACAGAGAACAGCTGATGGAACTGGGAGCATTTCTCCTGGGAAATACAAGTCTTGGGAAGAACCAACTCATAGAACTTGTGAGCCAAAGGGACCTTAGTGGTCCAACTCCACTCCCACCGGTTTCATAGGGGCAAGCTGAGGTCTGGGCTTCACTAACTGACAGTGGTGTGTGTCCTACGGAAACACTGCAAGCAGGGGCTGGGTAGCACCTGTCAGGGGATCGGTGGGCAGTTCTGCTCGCAGGAGACCTAGCCCAGAGCACTCCGGAGCCCCGGCCACTCCGTAAGTCTATGATTTCTATGGCAGGGAAAAGACCATGAGGCAGGAAGAAAGGGAAAAGAAATGAAGGACTCAGAGAAGAATGGGGGTCAGCCACCTCCTTTTCATCCATGTCTCCCCCACCTCAGTGCCCTCTTCCCCCAAGCCCCCGCTCCGTAACTCCTTCCTCCCGGGCGCCCTAGACTCCCGGTGGCCTGACCTCTACCTGTCCCCTGTGCTCCTGATACCTTGTTGGGTTTTACTGCTCTCTGGAGATTCTCGATCCATTTGTCCCTTTCGGCCGCAGAACGACAGGCAAAACATTTTGTTCCTGATGACGTTGTTACCTGGAGAGGGGTGTGGAGTTGAGATGGGGCTGAAGAGGGGAGATGACTCCTGAGGACTGGAGATTCCACCACCATCTCCTCCTCCCCGCCTTTCTCCAGCCCCCAAGGTTTCGGTTTTCTCCACATCCCCACCGAGGCCACTTTCTTGAGGCCTCTCTGACCTTACCCTCCATCGCCCAGCACACTAGACCCAATACCTCAAAACAGAACTCCTGGCCCAGGATGGAGCTGTGCACTGGCTTGATAATGGAATCCTCATCCAAGTTGAGCTCTAAGGCCTCGGCGGCACTGCTAGGACTCAGCAAGGACTCGTGAGAATGTGACTCCTTAAAGCTCTGCATCAGCCGGGCCCTAGCGGGCGGGAGGGTCAGGAGAGAGGATCAGGGCCCCACAACTCTTACACACCAGGGCCTGTGTCATCAGGATGGAGACTTGGGAAAAGTGCCTCCTGAATTCCCTTCCCACACGGACACAGACAGACAGACAGAAAGAAACCAGCCTATCCCTGGGGAAGGACATGAGGGTGTGAGAGAAGCAAGGCTCTTTAAAGAAATCCCCTCGCCTTCAAGTCACACCTAAGGGGTTGTGAGGACTGGGGACACGGAGGAATATCTCTACCCAGAAATGGACCATGGCGGAGAACAGAGGCGAACAGGTGGGCTTGGGACACCTCCAGGTGCCCCCCAACATCCAGAGCCTCGGAATAAGGGAGGAAACGTGGAGGTAAAGAACCAGAGTGCAAAGATGGTCACCTGGGCCTGGCACACGCTAGTGCTTACACAACATCCAAAATTCAGAGAATGAATGAATGAGGTAAGAGGGCTCTAGCAGAATCGGGGTTTACGGTCATGTGTTACTCATGAAACTCGGGGAAACTCAGAGGGGGACTCGCAATAAATAGGAGGAAGCTGCGGGCAGAACGTGACAATGAAGAGACTGAAATGGGGACTGGGGGAGAGGGGGAGCTGGAGCAGGAAGGAGAAAAGGGGGAGGCAAAGGCATGTGCAGAAATAAGAGGATAGGAGAAGGTGAGGAGGTACAACTGCAGAGAGGGACATGGGAACAGAGATGGGAATAAGACGGGAGGAAATACAGGGAGAGGAGAGAAAGGGGCTGAGGGAGCCAGGGATGGGGGCCCAGGCCCAGGAATAGGAACAGGCGAGTGAGCAGTATGAGGATGGCTAGGGATGAAGAGTAGAGAGCAGTAGGAAAGCAGGAGGGAGAGCTCGGGTGTGGGAGCCTCCACAGAGCTATTTATAGCAGCCCCGTCATTGGGCTCCATTGTCGTCAGCGCCACGCTCCCCCAGCCCACCGCCCCCGCAGCCAGGAATACCATGCCCTCACCCCCCCTGCCAGCCCCAAATCCAGCTCGGTGACATGGGAGGGGGCAAGGGAAGGTGTGACTCACCTATCCCAACCTCCCTACCTGCCCAATCCCGAGGGAGACCAGACATGGGGGGAAAGGAAGGACTGGGCTTCCTGGGGAGTGACTGGGTGAGGGGGAAGCCCGAAGAGGAACCCCAAGAAGCAGACAATAGGAGCAGACATGACATGTCCCCCAATCCCAGCCTCAGTGACAGTGGCTCTGGACTTCTCTGAGGACTTCCTCCCCCCTCCCCCCGTTCAGTCCCTGGATTAACCCTATAGCTCCCCTCCCCCGCCAGTACACCTGTGCCACCCTCCCCCTTCGCTGTCATGCTCTCAGCTATCCCTTCCCTCAGCCATTAGTATCTGCCAGCCCCAGCCCCACTCCAACCCTCTGCCCTTCTCTCACACCCTTCTACCTAGACCACACTGCTCCTCCCTGACCCCCCCCCCCCCCCGCCCGGCTTCCCCAATGGCGCCGGCACTCCTTTAGTCCTGGGGGCCAGCAGAGTCCCTCCTTGGCTCGACCTCTCCCTGTCCCTCACCCCTAACATCCCTCAGCCAACCTGAGGCCTCCAGCCTCGCATCAGAGGACGCCCATTGCTGGGATCTCACTGTAGAGCCCCCCATACGGCAATCAGGGCAGCCCTCCCGCTCCAGCCCCTACCGGTCATGGTCAGCACTTCGGAAGCGAGGCAGGATCTGGCGAAAGCTGCTGGTCCGGTCAAGTTTGGGTTGGGACTTCGTGCGTTTGATGGAGCTTTTTAGCCTCCGGCTCAGGAAGCCTTGCTGGGGGAGGGAAGTGGGGATGGGGCGGTTGGGGCAGGGTCAGCTCCACCTGCTCAGCCCTCAGCTGAAGGTGGAAAGGGGAGGACGGGGAGTCTTTAGGGCGAGGAAAGGGGAGAAAAACCCTGCCACCGGTCTGTCTTCCTTGGCTCCCACGGGTTCGAGCGCATACACAAACACACACCAGCTTGCAGAAGGTGGGAGGGCTGGTCTGAGAAGCAGGGGGGCAGAGCCAAGAAGGGGGAACCAAAGAGGTGGGGAGTGTCTCTTTCCTCCATCCCTCCCGCTCGGGTCCCTTTTCAGAATCCTGGGCTCCAGCTGGGACGGGGGGGAGGGGCAGCCGGCCACATTTGGCAGCACCTTCACTCACCGAGGGCCGGAAGGGCGCAGCGGGGGCGGCCTCCATGCTGTACTGCTTCCCCCCGGGGACACTCTTCCTCCTCGAGCGGCCCAGGTGGTACTCTGGGGGAAAGGAAAGGGCAGAGGGGAGCTGGGGAGGGGTCGCTGTCGGCCGGCTTCCGCCCCTGGCCCCAGCGCTCACCCACCTCCCTGGCCCCTCGCTCCAGCCTCACCTACCCCCCGGGAAGCAGCAGGAAGAGCAGCGGCGGCGGAGAGGCTGGCGGCGGGAAGAAGGGGGCAAGGAACCCGACCCGGAGCCCCCCGAGGGGGACGGAGTGGGAGGCCTGAGGCCCATGACCGGGGCTGGCAATCAGCCGAGGGGCATGGCTGAGAGGGTCAGTGAAACCCCAAAAATAAAGGACACAGCTCCACAGAAGACAGGTCCTTGGTGCCCACCCCCCCAGGAGGAGGCTAGCTGCGGGGGGAAGCTGGGCTAAGGTCATTGCCCATAGGCAAGCTTTCCCCTTCCCTCGGCTGGGTCCATCGCCCGCCTGCCCCCCTCCTGCTGGAAGCCCGGTCGGTCAGGAGGGCCTGGGCTGCCTCCCATGACCCCCTCCCTGGGCTGGAGGGGGAAGTCTTGGGAGAGACCCGAGAGGAGTGGCCAGGGGAGAATCCTGGGGACAGAAAATTCCAGGAAGGGCCAGGTAGGGGGAGGGGAGGAGGGGCTGGTTCCACGTGCACTGCAGTGGCAGGGCCTCAGAGGGGAAGGAGGGAGAGGGAAGAGAAGAATGCCAGGGAGTGGGGGAAAGGGGCAGTGGGGGCTGGGGGACTCCCAAGTGAGGGTAGGGAGACGAGGAGAGGAGGTGACTGCAGATGAAGCTTGGGACTGCCAAGAGTCTGAGAGAGGTGGCAGCTCGGAGGAGGGAGGCTGGGGCTCTGCTAGCAGGGAATTTAGGGGGGCGAGGGGCTAGAGGAGAATGAAAGTGGGGGATGCCAAGCTCCGGCTCCAGTTCCAGAATGGCTGCTCAGGCCTGGGCTCCCCCCTCAGCCCCAGTCACCACTGCAGCCAATGGGGGGGCAGGTACTGCATCAGGGGCGGGGCTACCATCTCCACAGCAACAAGAAGCTACAGGCTGGAGGGGGTTGGACCGGAAGAGCGGCCAGTTAACCCTCTAGATTCCAAAGCAAGGGTGGGCCACAGCTACATTTTCACTGTCAGCTTCCAGAATTGCAAACTGTCCTGGAGCCAGCCCCCAAGTTCCCTTTGCCTCTAAAACCCACGCGTTAGGAGATCTGCACACAGAAATGTGGGTCCTATGATACAGGAGCCCTTGGGAATACATGTGTACAGCACAGAAACACTCTGAGCTGTGGAGGTACATGTATACGAGAGCCACAGTGCAAAACTACACAGGGATCTCGGTGCTTAGAAGGTGCAGAGACAACTGTGAGCAGGGGGTGCCGCTGACCCGCAATCAGATGCTCAGGCCCGCACAGCCCACTGGTGCATGCTTAGACATGTGTGAGCACCACAGGGAGGACATGCTTGGACCGACACTCACATGAGAGCTGCTGGTGTGGGCGTGTGGCTCGAGTCCCTTGGGCAATCGTGTAGGCAGCACATTACAGAAATGGACATTTAACCCTGAGACGCACACACGACCGTGAGTACACCGGGATTCCGACCACGTCAAGGTACCCCCGAACCCCACAAGCACGAACATCGTTCATTCACATGAAAAGAGCAACTCATCTCAGGACAATTCCTCTCGCCCAGCCCTTCCCTGACCCCAACACAGGCTTCCGAGACGGCTACCAGGATAAAGAAAAAGCAAGGAGCAGATGTGTCCATTATCCTTCCGTCACACACTCAACAATGCTCCTAAGGGCTCCGGATACCTCTGTCCTAGTCTCTGTTTCTCAGGTATAGCTGCCTCCCTCTCATTCCAGGGAGCCTCGCTCAGCCATGGTTTTCAGATGCAGGCTCCTCTAACAAAGGCATAAAGTCTAACTTTAAATCCACTCAAATTTTGCTTTGGAACTAAAGAATTAACAGAAGGAGAACTAATGTGCTAATTGGTTCACTTGGTTCTTGGAAGTAATATAACCTTACACATATCACCAGAAACGAAGGTCCAGGAGCTCACACATAAGTCACAGGTACGGAGCTGGCCGCATACACAGGGGCTTACAAAAACTCACTGTCACAAGGCTAAGAACAGCAGAAACACACAGGAAAAGGGGAAGAGTGACAGGAACTTGGGACATCCTGTTATTAATGCCGCATGCAGTGACATGTACAGAAAGCACAGCACACACCCCTGTACACACACACAGCAAACCTGATCCTCGTATTGTGATTACTGGGCCCCCATGACCCATTCTAGCACGACGTATACACGCATGCACACACATAACAGCCACCTACACAGGCCTGTAACCCAGGCATTGTGCATACACCCACACATGTGTACACCCTGTATCCACACACAATTGCTCTCACATGCACACAGCAAGAGCTTGAACTCCCACCTCTTCAGTCCCTGGAATCTTGCCATCTCCCCGCCTTGCACTCCCCCCTAACCCAGGAACCCTGCCTGTGGCCTTTCTTCCTTATCACACCCAGCTGGCAGCTCACACGGGGAGCCAGGGGAGGGAGGTTGGCAGAACAAGGTGAGGAACAGAGTTGGACAGAGAGCAGAGAAATGGGGTGCAAAACTCTACACCGGGACAGGAACCTCTAATGACGGTCCCTGCGTGACAGGCCTCGCTGAGCCAGCCTCTGAGCCCGAGTGGCCTCCCTGATCCCACAGGGCCCACATGAACCGGGGCCATCTTCCCTCTCCTGCCTTCCTCTCTCACAGACCCCTTTACCGCAAGGCCTGACTCCTCCTCCCCATCCCCCAGGCCCCTTCTCCCAAGTCTCCATCCTAAGCTCTCTTACCCTCTCTTCTCTCTTCCAAATCTGCTTGTCTCTCCAGCTACTCTTTCGCCCTGGCTCTCTTTCCTCCCCTTCAAGCTTCTCTCATCCCTCCTCTCCCTCTTTCTCACCACTTTTCCTCTTTCCTCCACTTTCAGCTTCCCTTTTCAGCCTCTCTGCCCCCACTCCCTGACAAGTAGGGGTTCATACCTGCCTAGTCCAAAGGTGTTCCATATACAGTAGGGTTCTAAGGAGCACACACACACTTACTCCCTCCCCCACTTGCACACCACCCACATCCAGACACACCCTGGACACCCATGCGGGGACTGACACGGATACCCAGATCAATGACGGAACACACATGCAAAGACACACACCTGCCAGCAGGGACACAGAAATCCTGCTCATGCAGCCACACATCCCCACACACTGGAGAAAGACTACAAGTGAGCCCCAGCCAGGGACATGCATGCCCAGGGTCAGAGGTGACATGGACCAGGATGGCCACGGACTGCCCCACAAGCCAGTGGCCAGCCCAGCAGCTCCCTAGCCAGGAACGCGGCAGAGGCAGAATAAGACAGGACAGCTTGACAGGTCTGCACCTGGCTGGATGCACATGTGTGCAGGAGTACCTAGGCCCCCGTGTGCACATGGCACCGACACACAGGGGACACGGGTATGAGCACGAACACCAACGTGGACACACAGGCTGCCGCCTCCACAGAGGAGCTCCAAGACCACCCCACACCGGCCGCCCCCGCGCGCATGAGGCTCTGTTCCCCCACGAGGCCACGACCGGTCCCCGACACTCCCCGCACCCCGCGGACCTCCGCTGCCCCCTCTCCAGTTACCATAACTCCCCCCACTCGGAAGATGCAGCGAGAACATGCAGAGGGAGCAGCTGCCGCCGCCGCCGCCGCGGCCTCCCCACCCCCTCCCCGAGCCCACGCACACGCGCGCCCCCGCCCCACGCGCCCCCCACGCGCGCTCCTCTTCGGCGCGGTCCCGCCCTTACCTTGCACCGCCCCTGGGGGGTCCCCGGTGAGGGAGGGGCTCCGCCCCGGCGCGGGGGAGGGGCGGGGTGCGGCGGGACGGGGGGCGGTGCGGCCCGGCTCGCACCGCCCGAAACGGTGGGGGCGGCGGCGGGGCCCGGGACGGCCCGGACGGCCGCGCGGTGACGGCCGCGGGAACGGCTCCTTCCGCCGCCGCTCCCGCCGCTGCCGCCGTTGCCCGGGCCCCGCCGCCGTTGCTAGGCGACCGCTGCTGCCGTGGCCGCCTCTGTCACGAGCCCCGTCGCCCGGAGACAGCGCGAGAGAGACGGGGGGAGGGGGACGAGGGGACCCCCTAAGCCAGCCGGGCCTCCCAACATCTCCCTCCGGAGCACAACCCCTACCCCAAACCGCGGAGAGACGAGGGGCTGCGGCTCCACCCGGCAGAGGGGAGCCCTGGATTCCAATGCCCTCAGGGGTCGGGTCCCTTCCGAGGCTCGAACACCCACGGCCCCAGCACACCGTCGCGCGCCCTATGTCCCCTGCACACCTCCATGCCCTCTACACGGTCCACATCTCCCGGAAAACCCAGACGTTCACCAGTCATCAACGCTTTCACCAAACCCTCCCCGATATGTAGACCTCTGGACCCCCTCCCAACCCTACGGAACCTCCGGCTCAACAACCTCCACATACCAGCCCCGGCTGCACACACACACGGCTGCCTGCACACAGGAGACACGCGGGAGGCCCACAGCAGAGACCCCAGACCCCGAGGACTCCGGGTGAAGAGACAGATGAGGAATAAGTGGGCAGAGACACCAACCACCGGACATAGGAAAAACATACCCCACAGCATGTGACCACGCTGGCCTGGACACACAGGTGCTCACACGTGCACAACACACAAACCTTTCCCAGACATGGACACGACACAGATGTAACAGACACCACACACATTCTCTGTACACACGCCACCACCACCACCTGGCTTTGCCTCACATGGATGTGCTACCCCCACACACCCATGGTCAGAGGTTTCCATGGCAATGACACATCCCTGGCCATCCAACCTTCCAGGGTCCCAGAGCTGACCCCCAAGGGCCTTCTGGGCCTATCAGGAGGGCTGAAGGGAGCCAAGAGATAGAGATAGGCCACTGGCTCTCTCTAAGGAAGAGGAACTGGAAGCCTGGATGCTGAGGGGAGGGGAGCTGGTGGAAGAAAGGAGTCACCTAGGGTTGGGGGGTGGGGAGGACATGGAGGACCTGCATCCCTGGTCCCGGAGGGGAAAGGTAGTGGTAGGGGCAGTGACAAGGGGGTTCCGGGGCTGAGGGTGTCTCTCTGCACCTTGGCTGCAAATCTCTGTTCTCTGCCTTCATCTCCCCTCACTGTTCCCATGGAAACCTTTTAAGCTAACTTCTCAGGAAGACAAAAATCTTTTTTTAAATGACTAAAGAGGGAGGTGGAGGGGGGGCAGAAAGAGAGAGGGAGGGGAAGAGACAGATGGAGAGAGAGAGAGTTGAAGAGACAGACTGAGCAGAGAGCTCTGCAGACAGACAGACAGGAGATGAGATGGGGGTCTGATGGAGTTAAGGGGTACAGAAAATAAGAGAAATCGGGAGGAAAGAGAAAGGGGGTGATAGAATTGCAGAAAATAGAAGCAGTTGATGAGAAGAGGAAGAGGGGGCAAGAAAAGAGGGAGGGCCCTCGGGCCAGAAGGTCTGGAAGGAGAATCGGGAGCTGGGGGGGCGGGGGGGAGGGCGGGAACTGGGTTATTCTCTCCAAGATCCCAGACCAAGCCCTGGGAGGGGCTGGGGCGGGCTCACTCGAACAGGAAGCTGAAGATCTAAGGAGACTATTTTTACAAGCACCAGGGAAAGTCATGCTTCGCGGTTGGAGAGGAAAGGGGAGCGAAACTGAGTGAGGACTGTGACCGCAGCCCGTCCCGCTCGCGAGCCGAGGAGGGCGCCTTTCCCGCGCAGGCTCCTGCTCGCGGGGCGCCCGCCCGTGCCGCGGCCGCCCAGCCCCGGCTGCTCCCTCAGCCCCGGCTTCCTCCGCCCAGCGCCCGGTCTGCCTTCAGCTCTCTCCCCGCGACTGTCCGGGGCGCCAGGGCTGCTCGGCCGCCGTACCATGCTCGCCGTGGGGCCGCCCCTCCACCGGCACGGAGACTGTGCGTCTCAGCAGTTTGTTGCGGCTGGAGTCGCTCCTCCGGTCCCGGATCAGAAGGGGGTGTATCTAGGGGATGCGGGTGTGTCAGAGCTCACGGGCGCCGCCGTCCCCCCTCCTCCCCCACCAAGCAGGCTGCACCTCCCCTGCCTTCCGGGAGCTCGCCTGCTGCCCCTGCCCCACGGCACTAAGTGTCTAGGTGAGCCAACTTCCTGGCCCTTCTCTCCCAAGTCTCTCTCTCTCTCTCTCTCATGTCCCACTCTCCTCTCTTCTCCCTCCATTTCTTTTGAAACATCCTCCAGGGAATCCTCCCAAACCCCACTCAGCTCTCCGGAGTTCGCTGCTTCCTGCACTTTCCCCTTGACCTTCAGGTCCTCCATTCTCCCTGCTGTCCTCCCAACCTCCCACCTCCCGCACGCCCTTCCCTCCCTCCCTGCCAGTCACGGGGGGGGGGGGGGGGGGGTCAGAAGCTGCATTTATAATCAGGATCCACAGCTTGTCTCCCTCCCACGCCCGCCCGGCTTGTGGCCAGACTGGGACCCAACCTCCCCACACCCCGGAAGGCCTGGTCACCTCCCCACACCTTTCATCTTCTATCATGACCCCCAACTCAACCTCTCACTTCCCTTTCTTCTCTCTGAACCTCACCCCCACTTCCCCCTTGCCACCTCCTTCCCAAACCACCCCTCTCCAACCCTCCCATCTCCTCCGCCCCTACAAGAACCTCCTCACCCACTGGTCCCCAGCCCCAGTTCCATAACCCAACCCCTGTGGCCCTACAGTGTTCATTTTCTAAATTCTGTCTGCCCTGGCACGCTTCCTACTGGATTCTGGCCACTCCTGTTGCCCTCAACTTGCTGGCCACCAGTCCCCGAAGTCCCCTCAACCTGTCCCCACCTCTCATTCCTTCATTACCCCATTCATTTCTTCCCTCTTCATCCTCACACCTCACAATAGTCCCCACTCTTATTGGTTCTGGTTCCTCCGATTCATCCTGCGGACCCCAAACCCTGGGTCAATGCCTAAAACCGACAACCCAAACCACCTCTCCCTTTACAGTCACCATCTTCCCCCAGTCGATACCTCGACTTTACTCCATGGCCTGAAAGCCTTCTACCCAGCCATCTCTCCACACTCTCACTTGCCCCACAGACCCCTCGAAACCCTGGTTAACTTCAACTCCAGTTCTAAACACAACCTCCCCAACAGCTTTTGGGGCACATCTCTCACCACCTCTCTGGTCTGGTGAGCTACCTTATCACTCTTTAAAGATGGTCCTCCAAATCACTCCATTCCCTGACTCATACATCTGGGCATCTACCCTTCATATTCGCACCCCCTATTTCTTCTGACGGACCCTCCACTGTGACCCCAGCTCCCAAATCTGAACCCACACTCTCCTGGCTCTCTAATCACCCTGCATGCCTACTGCCGCCCACAGGAACCCTCTGTTCATGTCATGTCTTTCACTCTGGCTAGTCCCTGCCCCTATCTCACTCTTACTGTTTTAGGCAACTCCCTCATCTCCAGGCATCCCCTCCCTTACGTTCCTTCCTGATGTCCCTGCCAAAAGCCCTCTCGGTGCCTCTCTAAATTCTGATCTCAGGTGCCTTCCCAGTCTCCCCACCGAGATCCACTGACCTTTGTCATCTCTCCCAGGACCCTCCAGCCTCTCCCAGTTTCCCAAAGACCCCACTCACCCCTGCCTTTTCTCCGAGTCCCCCAAGCCCCCCTCCCCGCACCCTGCACCATGATGGGAAAAGGACAGGGAGGCAGTGAGTCTTGCTCAGTGTGGGAAGAGGAAGGGTTCCGAGAATCACTGTGGAGCTGATCCCGCCAAAGCAATCCCCCTTCCTTCACCCTTCAGTTTCTCTTTCCCACCCTAACCTATCCCACAATATGGGCAGGTGAAAACAGGAGGCACCCCCAAATCTTCAGAACCTCATCTCCTCTTCAACACTGCACATGGCCCTCAAAGACCCCCAAGCCAAGGTGTGAGAATGCTTGCCCCTTTTCACATCCCAACCCAAGTCTCAATGGCCAACCTCCTTCCACCGCTTGCCGATGTCACTCTTGTCAGTCTTCTCTGTGTCTCTCACCCTTTCACTAATGAGGGTTCTCCCCATCTTTCTCTCTACATTCCCCATGGTACCCAGTGGTCCTTCCGACCTTCCCACCCTGCTCACCTCGTCCTCATCCAGCATGAGAAGCTGGTTCCCAGAGATGATGCAGAACCGAGGGTTCCAACCAGGACGATCATATGGGGAATGAACGTATTGGGTTCGGTGCATAGGGGGTCCCCGTACATCTGGGGGACAGAGACACACAGAAACAGTAAGGGAGGCTCTAAGTATTTGGGAGACAGAGGCCTACAGTGGGTAATAAGAGAGTCCACCAAGTGGGAGAAGGGGACCACACCTGCCTTGAGATCACAGATGGGGGTGAGGCCCCTGGTAACGTTAAGAGAGCGGAAGATAAGCCTCTATATCTGGGGGGAAAGAGGAACGGGAATCAGCACAGGGCTCTGTCGACGTGGAGAAAGAAATTGGAAGGGTGGCTCGACGAGGGGAATTATAGCATGACAAAGGGTATACATTTGAAGGCAGAAAAGAGTGAAGGAACTCTCCATCCACTTCAAAAAAATAAAAAGGTGGAGGCAGCTGAACTGACTGAAGAAAAACACACAGGTTGGTGGCAGGTGCAACCAAGTAACCAAAGAAGACAAGAACTTGGAAGGTGGCACGACCTACCTGCAGGGGAGGAAGAGGAAAGCTGTGGAAGGAAGGAAGGGCTGGGGGTGTAGGAACATGTAGGTCATAAGATTCTGAGAACTAAGCATCTGGAAAAGGAAGAAAGTGAGAGAGCTTACCTGTTCAGATCAGAGACAGGAGCAGGCCTCCCCTCCTGCCTTTCCTCTAGCCTCTGCTCCCTCCTCTCCTAGCCCAACCCTGCTCAACATTTGGGGAGAGTTCTGGTTCTTTAAGAGGGTTTTGTCAGCATCTGGCTGTGAAGGGGCCGGGGAATGAGAATAGAAACTGAATTGATCTCTTCCCCCACTTCATGCTCAGAGATCAAAGATGTAACACCCTCCCCCCCCCCCCCCCGCCTCCCCACCTAGTCTCCAGGGACAGGATGGAAGCCAACCCCAAGGGTTAGGAACCTTCCCAAGGCACAGAGAGGAGTTTGAAGAAGAAAGAGCGGAAAGAACGAAGATCCAGGCCTGTGACATAGAGTGGGCTCCAAAGACTGGCCCTGGGGCTGGGGACAAAACTTCTCAGAACAGCAGACAAGGGTGCCCATGTCCTTCCCATGCTACCACCCCTGCAAACTGCCTCTTCTTTAACCCCCAGCTGCACACCATCACGGGGTGCAGGGGACAGGCCCAACGGAAGGAAGAGGAAAATCAAATTGGCAATATCAAAACAATAGAAAATGGGCTTAAGGTATCAAAGTGTGAGAGAGTTTAGAGGGAGAAACATCAAATTGTCACCTTGCAGGGTGCTTACTCATGGAGCTATTGCAGGAAAAGATCTGATCTTTGAGCTTCATTCCAACTGGATACCCTGAATAGAGAGCTTTGGAAAATCTAGCCCCTTTCTGTCTACAAATGTGGTCTTCAAATCTACCCAATCTGCAGATCAAAGGCGGGGATGAATCCCCAGAACGGAGATGCCTAGAAACCCCAACACTTTGAAACTCTCACTTATCTCGCTGCCATCTCAGAGACTCTGTAAGCAATCCTCTCTAGATCCAGAGGTCAGCAAGGCTGGGAGACTGCAGACACTGCAGGCAGCGCGCCCACTGCACTGACTCTGAGGACCCCCAGAGGAGGATCTGTGGCTACACACAGTCATTATGGGAGGGACTGGTTCAGGCTGCAGCCACGGGGAGGCAGGTTAGACTTCAGGGGGCACCTTCCTGGGGGCAGGGAAGGACACAGGGAACTTAGTTCAGAAGCAACTCTGGACACACACACACACACACACACACACTGTCTGGACTTAAGTGAGGATGAGTCTGGGAGGCAGAAGCAAGAGGAACACAGCTGAGAACGGGGAAAGGCATACTAGGACGAGAAATCCCACAGGGCTCAGATGGGGGTCGCTTGTGGGCCCTGTTCCAACCATCAAAACCTGTCTTTGCACCCCAAATCTCCAACACCCCAAAAAGTAGAGGAGACAAGAAAAGAATGGATGATAAGAGGTGAAGGGAATTTGGGGAGGCACAGGCTTGTGGTGACAAGATGGGGAACAGAGTAGGCAATAGAGGATGGGCTGGAGGATGTAGGAGAAGAGGGGGTAGAAATGATGGCAAATCCCTGCAAGAAAATATATCAGAAGGGACCAGCTGGACCTGGGGCAGGAGAAATGATGTGAACCTAATAGAAGTACTAGAACACGGGGGTCAAGAAGGAGGGGGTGAAAAGGTGGGAGAGAGAGAGAGCGAGAGGACATCAGAGCAGGGACTGATAAAGGGGAAGGACAGAAGGGGGACCCATATAAGGAACGGACACCATATGGGGGGAAAGATATAGGTGATGGACACCAGAGGAGGGAGGGGGAACTGGAAATAAGGATTGGAGATGGGGGAGGGGAGTAAGAGTGGTGGAGTGAATGAAGCAGATAAGACCCCAGGGGTCACACTGTCCTGGTCAAGGGCCTGAAAGAGGTTCGGGCAGTGTGACCTGCCCCTACTCCCATCACTCAGTCTCACCGGCATTCCCCCTCCCCCTCCACAAACACACACACATTTGGCCCTCCCCCTGCCCTGGTCTCTCCTCCCCCAACCCATTCCCTCTCCTCTCTTCCCTCCATCTGGACCCTCTATTCCTCCCCCCACACACCCTGCCTCCCTCTCTCTCCATCTGGCCCCTGCTTCTCTTCCTCCATCCTCCTCTCTTTTCCCATCCCATCCCATTCTCTGACCCCCCCACCCCCCACCATATTCTGAACCCCATCTTCTTGGCTCCTCTTTGCAACCCTATGTTTTCATTTCTCCCTCCCAGCCCCTCTCCCGACTCTGCCCTTCTATTTCCTTGATATTTTCCTCATCTCTTAGCTTCAAAATTATTTCTGCAGCTCTTCCTCCAACCCTATCCCATCTTCCCACCCTTTCTTGCGATCTCTTCTTTCCCCTTCATTTTCACCTCAGCCCTCTTTAAGGCCTGTCTCCTGGCCCCTCCGGTCCCTATCTCCCCTGTCCCCTGGCCTTCAATCCCTCCTTCCTCACTGCTCCTGTCCTGTCTTCCTAGTCCTCCTGTCTCCCTCCATTTCAGCAGCTCCCCTCCTTGGCCTCGGCTCTGCCCCCTCCTCCGCCCTGCCCCTGCCCCTCCCCCCTTTACCCCTCCTAACTGGCCCTCCCCCTCCCCTCCCTGGCCCTCCCCTTCCCCTCGCCACCGTACCTCTGAAGGGGGCATAGGACATCGCGGGGATGCTCCCCCGATGGATGGAGGCGCGAGACCTGCTCATCAGGCCTGGGAGGGAGGGGGCGGGGGACGGGGGAGAAAGAGAAGAGAGAAAGAGGGGGAGAGAGAGGGGGAGAAGGAGGAGGAGGTGGAAGAGGAGGAGGAGAGAGGAGGAGAGAGGAGCGGAGAGGAGCAGAGAGGAGGAGAGAGGAGGAGGAGGAGGAGAATGGGAGCCAACGGCAGCAGCGGCAGCCGGGAGAGAGAGAGGGGGGCGGGGGAGTGAGCGAGAGAGGAGAGAGCAGGAGGAGGAGGAGAGAGAGAGATCTGCAGCCCCCACCCCGACCCAGTGGGAATCAGAGAGACAGAGACCCCTGACTCAGAAACACCAGAGAGAGGGAGAGCGAGCTGGAGAGAGAACAGTTTTAAAGCTGCAGATCCCAGACCTGAGAGCAAGAGACCCCAGACCCAGAGAAAGATACTTGTCACCAGGGAGGGGAGGCGCGGGGAGGTTAATCTGAGGCACAAATCCAAAATCTAGAGGAAAACAGACCTCAATCTCTGGAAAAGCAAAAACAACGCCCCCCCAAAACAGACCCCCCCCCCCTAGAGAAAGGGGTGAAAGGTCAAAAACTGAGCCACCGGTTTCAAAAAAAGTTCTCCAGAGCCACAGGAATCTTGGACGGTAGCCTCAGATGGTTATTCAGGGACCAAGCTCTGAGGCTGAGACCCAGATGCAGAGAGAGATGTCAGCCAGAGACCCCAGATACAGGAACTGCAGACCTCGGGCTTGGGGTGCGAGTGGGGGAGAAGGGGAGGAAGAGATTAGAGATGGGGAGCGAGGGAGGGAGGGAGGAAGACGCTTAGCTAGTGCAGAGATGCGGAACTCAGCGACCCCAAATTCATAAAGAAGAGTTAGAAAAGCCTTGGGGAGACAGTGATTACAGATCCAGGAAAACAAACCCCTAAAACAAAAACAGAAAGAAACCCCAATGCAAACACAGAAAAGGCCCCCAGAGCTCTGGAGGAGACCCGGCCCGAGAGGCAGGCCTGAGGGAACCCCGGAGGCAGCCGGGGAAATGCCGGTCGCCCACCCCTGGCCAGAGGCCCTAGACCTTGGGGGGAGGAGGAGCACTGGGTAGAGGGTGTGGAAGAGCCTTTCCCCTGCTTCGTCCTCCCACCACGCCCTCCTCTCATTGGCCCCTCTCCATTTTTGGGTCACAGGATGTGCCTGCGCCCCAGGGAGGTTATGTAGGGCAGGTCCTGGCTCCTAGGAGGACGGTTTAAGGGAAGGAGACCCAAGCTGACAGGTAGACCAGTCTGGAGAGGGAATAGGAAGGGGATAGGTACACAAGGACCATCGCTGCCTCTTGGTGTCCTCTCCATATCCCCAGCCTCAGCTCTACTTCTCCCGGATTTACCAGCCTGCCTCCAGCTTTGGGGAGGCGCCTGCTGCCCGATGTTCATCGCCCCATTTACAGGGTCTCCTTCTAAAAGACGTCTTTCCTCACCTCGCCATGGTCTAGCCGTGCCCGTGCCTGCCTAATCACTCCCCCTGCCCAGGGACACTGCTTCTCGGATTATCATTGTTCATTCCCAATCCCAGGCGAGTGCTAGTCCTAAACAAGAGGGCAGGGGGCGCTCTCTTCACCCTCCGAGGTTAAACCTTCTCAGATCCTCCCACCTCCGGGCCTCGGGGAGCGCGTAGGGTCTGTGGTGAGGTGCCCTCTAGGGACTAGGGATGACCCCCCCACTCTACAACTTGACGCATCGAGTCTGCGGGGTCTCCAGCCCCGCTTTCCTGGCGCCATCTCTTCCATCACGTGGCCTGCAGGGCTGGAACGCGATTGGCTTCCTCGCGTCCCTCATTGACAGACCGCCATCCGTGGGGACCTCCCCCGTCACGTGACAGTGGACGGCCGCCGAGGCTCTCCTCGGCTTGCCATTGGTCGGCTCCGGGAACGGGCGAGCCATTTCCGTACACGGCTGCAGATCCTTTGTGGATTGGTCAGCTCCCTTCGCTCCTCCCTCACCAGGAGGCGGGGCAAATTGGGCCATGCGAGGGCCGGATTGGCTGGCTCTGGAGGCGCAGCTCTTACGGTCACGTGGTGTACGTTGTGTTCTTATCACGTGGCTACCTCCCAGGTAAGTAGAGGCCCCTCTTCCTGGGTGTGGGGCCCTTTCTCGGCGTTACTGTGGCCTTTGATATCCAACCCTCCTCCGCCAGCTTAGGCTGCATGAGAGGGGTGCGGGCTCCCGCGGTCCTGCTCGGCGGAGGGGTGAGTGAGCGGCCCCGCCCCTCCCGGTTCGGAAGCCTGGACCACCCGCACCCGAACCCCAGAGGTTGGCCCCTGAGGAGGGGGTATAAACCGAGCCTTTGCCTGAATTTTTCACGTTTCTCTCTCAGCTTCAGGGACCTTTCCTTCGGGGTGCAGAAGAGGGAGGGCAGAGTCCGAGTGTCCCAACGAGGGGTTTCTGGGGTGCAGTTGCTGTGGTTTGTGGGGAGACACCGACTTCAGCGCCTGCTCCCAGGCCGCGCTGCTCCTGTCGCTCCTTTGGATGCCGGCGCTGCTGCCTGTGGCCTCCCGCCTCCTCTCGCTGCCCCGCGCCCTGACGGCCATGGCTTCAGGAAGCCCCCCGGCCCAGCCCTCGCCGGCCGCGGACTCCGGTTACGTTCCGGGCTCGGTCTCTGCAGCCTTCGTGACCTGCCCCAATGAGAAGGTCGCCAAGGAGATCGCCAGGTGGGGACCCGTGTGGGAAGAGGCAGACCAGAGGGAGTTGGGGCGCTGAAGAAGGTCCCTCCCGCCACTGCCCGCCTCTGGGCTTGGAGACCCTGGGCTGGCAGCGCAGAAGCCGGGTGGTGGGGCGCTCTGAAGGGGTCTCTTCGCCTCCAGGGCTGTGGTGGAGAAGCGCCTGGCAGCCTGCGTCAACCTCATCCCTCAGATTACATCCATGTGAGTCAGGATTGGGGTCACCCTAACGCGGCTAGGGGCTGACTGGCGGTCTTTTCGTTGGGGAAAACCTTTGCTCTCACAACTCTCCCTGACCTTTTCAGCTATGAGTGGAAAGGAAAGATTGAGGAGGACAGTGAGGTGCTGATGGTGAGAATCATTTCCCCACCCCTCGAAGCCTCAATTCTCTGACCTTTGACCCCTCTCCTTCATGAGATCCTGAGATCAGCCCCATGGGTGGATTCAACCACATTTGTCTTCACCCCTTAGATGATTAAAACCCCAAGTTCCTTGGTGCCAGCTTTGACAGATTTTGTTCGGTGAGAATTTTGAACTGGGGGGCAGGCCGTGGTCAGGGTGGGTAACGTGGGGTTGGGCTCCTTTGGGTAACTCTTGAATGACCCCACCCCTCTATTTCACAGCTCTGTGCACCCTTACGAAGTGGCTGAGGTGATCTCCTTGCCTGTGGAGCAGGGGAACTCCCCATACCTGCGCTGGGTGCACCAGGTTACAGAGGCAGCTTCTGACCCCAGCACAGTCCCACCATGACGAGCCCTGTTCCTGCCACCTTCCCTTCCATACTTCAGGGCCCTCTGACCTGGGCCCCTAATACCTCTGACCTGGGCCCCTAATAAATCCTGCCTTTGGTTCTTTCTGCCTTTGCCTTTTCTCATCACATATGAATTTGGTTGGGAAGATTAGCAGTGCTTCTAGTCCTGTGTTCTCATCTTTCAGAATGACTCAGCTACCAGATTTGTTTATCTTTATTTCAATAATACAGAGCCCAGTATCCTTTATCATCCTTCCCCTCCTCAGTCTCCATCCCCAGGGGTTAAATAATTTTTAAAAATATTTTAAAAGCTGTAACAAAATAACATCAAAGGAAATGGGAAGCAGGGTGGGGGAAAGCTCAGGACTCATGAAGGGAGTAGAGAAGAGAGCCTCTTCTCCCCGCCTCCCCTGGATTCCACCTGGGCAGTAGGAAAACTACCCCCTACCTCCCCAGGTACATCCCAGCTGTAGGTGAGGTCAGAGGTCAGGGTACGAAAGTGCCGATGTGTGTGTGGATGGGGAGGTGGGCAGAGGCAGGCTGTTCAGAAGATGCCCCCGCCTCCCCACTCCACCAGGTACTGCACAGAACCATCAGGCCGTACTCTCCGAGCCAGGACTCGGACAGGGTCCCCTCGGGACAGATAGCCAACCCCACCTCGTACTCCTCCCCCAGTCCCAGGAGACAAACTACGGCACAGGGGAGAAGAGAGTGCTGAGCGTCTAGGAAGACCTGGGGAGGGCGCTGGGACTGAGGAAGATGAGGCAATCATCGAGTGCGGGGCACTTTTAGGGATGTCTGTGGGGAAACCAATGTGAAGTTCCAGGGGTGACCTAGGGAGAGAAGGCAGTTGTGAGTCCAGTAAGACAGGTAAGGACTACCAGAAATGGAGCCCACAAGCAGATCAGAGGAATGAAGAAATGGTTGGAGATTGAGGACCTGAAGAACACAGAGACAACGAGGGGTGTCACAGGTAAAGGGGTAGAATCTCACCTGTCTGGGGGTTCGCCATCCCCAGAGGTCCCTGCAGTGCTGGCAGAGGGGTGGAAGGAAGCGAACATCCGGATGGGACTACTAGGGTTGGGGAGGGAGAAAAGTCAGGACCTGAAGCAAGAAAACAGGACATTCTCCCCCTGAATGAGCTTACCCCTGAGGAACCCCCATCCCCAGGATACTGGGGACCAGACATTGGTTCTAGAAGTCTCTCTGGGACAAAAAGTGGGTAGCCAAATGAGAGAATTCTGGGTGAGAAAGTCCAGAGGATGTGGACAATTAGAGAGGTTCTAGGGCAGCATATCTCTGGAGGGGGGAGCAGCACTGACCTGGGCAGGCAGCGGGCGTCTGTGGGCCGGAAGTTGTAGCCGCTGCTGCCCTGGTAACTCTGGTTAGGGCTGGGGGGCGGTGGAGATGCTGAGGCCTAGAAGTAGGAGCAGAGGACTGAGAGAGAACCCTGGGTTCCCCACACCAGCATGTGCCCCGTGGGGTTGCCTCTGCCTCTGTACCTGCAGTGCCCTCTGCAGAGGGGCCCGCTGCCTCTGCTCCTGGGGCTCTGGCTGAGTGCGCACTGCTGAGGGTGGCCCCAGCTCCTCCATCTTCCCCTTCTGCCTCCTCAGGGGCTCTGGCTCCGGCCTCCGGCGCTTCCCCAGGGGACGTGGAACCCCTCCCCCAGGGCCCTGCCCTGAAGGGAAGCTGTAAGAGGCCTCCTTATCCCCCCAGCCCCCTCCCGGACACCCCAAAGACCCCCACCTCCATCTATATTTACCCCCAGATTAATGCCCTGAGAACTTCCCCATCCCCCCTAGACCAGTGACCTGGTGGGGGCTCCATCTCCAGTAGGTGGCTCCACAGGAGGAGGGATCCGAGCATGGAGACCAAACAAGCATTTCCTCTTCTTAATCTCCCTTCCTGAAATGAAACTGGGGTGAGGAGAGACATGGTACAGGTCAGTGTTATGGAAAAGGGCCCTCTTCTGACCTTCCGCCCTGCTTTCCAGAGACGGTGTGCAGGTGGATCGCAGCACCGCCCTCCCCAGCTCCGTCTCCACATCACCTCTCGGCCTCCCTTCAGCTTACCGGTCCTTGTGGCTGTTGAGTGCAGAGAGCAGCTTGGAAGAACGTTCTCCCTTGGGAGTGTCCGAGAGCTGGGGAAGAATAGGGAAGGTGGGGTCAAGAAGCAGTGCTCCCTCCCCCTCTTCACATCTCCCTCTTCCCACACAACCTCCAAAGCTTCACCACCCCTTACCTCCCCAAGGAGCAAACTGTCCCAATTCTCAGAGGTGAAGGGGAGGATCTCACGGTCAAAATCAAAGTATTTTTTCTTACAGCAAACGCTGAGGTGATAGAGGACAAGATGGGCCACATCCACCCTGGAGAAGCATTGAGTTGTCAAGGTTGTGGAAGCATTACAACAGCCAGGGGAGTTCCGAGTGGGAGGTTGGGGCAGGTAGGGTGAGAGAGGAGTTACACTGAGGTCAAGCTCACCAGCGAAGCTGTAGCCTCCTGACCTTCTCAGGGCCCCCCCGACACACACAGCATTCAAACTCATAGAACCTGGATGTGGGCAAGAGAGAGAATACACCTGACACGGGAAAACTATACCGTGCTATGGAGGGCTCACAAAGCAAGGATGGGGACTAGTGATCAACACCTGAGAGGCTGTGAGGAGAATGGATCTGAGACAGGCAGGTGTGGGGGAACTGAGAGGGTGGGCAAATCAAGAGGGCTCTCTGGGCTCCCGGAGTCTGTCCTGGTCTCACCTGTCCCCGTAGAGGAGGGGCTTGCTCAGACACTGGGTGCAGGCCTCGTGGAACCACTGCAAGCAGCTCCGGCACTGCAGCATTTTCAGGTTCCACCTGAGGGGGCACATAGGACTAGTGACCTCCAGACACTCTCCCTCAACTGCCCCAAACCCTGCTCACCACGGACCGCCTCCGCTTCAGCACTCCGCTTCCCCTGTTCTCCTCCATTCCCCGGGAATTCCTGCACAACCACTGCATCACTTGTTCCTGAGCCCCTGCCCCTCATTACTCACTCCCCAGGACCACCACAGTAACAGTAGCTCTGCTGCCGGTTGCTCAGATGTCCAGCGTCCCAGTCCAGCCCCTTGAGTCCGTACGGCAGAGAGAGCTTCATACCCAGCATGGCCCGGGCGTAGGGGCCCTTCTTCAGTGCACCCCCCCTCTGCAGAGACAGAAGGGGCAGGCCACCTCAGCAGTGGGGCGAGAAAAGGCTTGGGAGAGGCCGTGGGTGGGCAGCTCCAATAGGAAGGTGCCTTTACCTTGGTGGCGATGGCAAAGATGCACTGGCGGCAGACCCAGGACGTGCCCTCTCCCTCTCCAGGGGCTGGGGCCCTTGGAACGTGGCAGTCCTGGTGATAAGCTGAATAATGACATTGAGGTAGAGCACTTACTGAATTGTAAACCTCCGTGTACGAGGCCTGGGAGAGGAAGAGTCTTATCTCATTTAATTCTCGGCCATCGTCCTGTTTCGGGGGGAGGGGGGTAACTACCCTTATTCTACAGGTGAGGGAACTGAGGCTCCTCGAGGGTGTGACTTGTTCAAAGCCATATGGTTAAGAGATTACTTGAGCCACCCTCTGCCTGCAAAGCTCACACATCCCCATCCCATGGCTGCCTCTCTGCGTTGGGAAGGGACTGAGGTTACAGGGTTGAAGAGACTGGCCAGACCAGTGGCCTGGGGGACAGGCCAGAACAGGGGGTATAAGGACCAGTGCTGGAGGGAAGGGACAGAGCAGCCGGGAATGCCCAGGGCGAGCTGGACCATCCAGGTGTCCTGTGCTCTCACCGTGGCGACACTTCTCACAGCTGACCAGCCGGTTCCCAGGGACCACAGCCTCTGAGCGACAGACACAGCAGAGGAGTTCCTCCCCAGGGAGGGCAGCTACGAGGGAACACAGTGTTGGGGCCTGTCCTTTAGGCAGGTTCCTGTCACCCATGGGATGCACACCCCCAGGCCTCTAGGGTCTCACCAGGGCTAATGTCTTTCCACAGAACCAGAAACTGGGAGTCATCCTCAAACTGCACCAGACACACCTCCCGAGCACTGTCCACCTGGAGTGGGTGAGTACACAGGTAAAAAGGGCATCAGAACTAGACGAGGAGACTGGGGGAAAGGTGACGGGTCAGAGGTCAAAGGTCTCACCTTCTTGATAGTTCCCAAGTACAGCAGCCCATCTGTCCATCTGGCCAGCACATCCTGACCCTCCCAAAGTCGAGGCCTGGGGCCTGAGGTGGGAGCAGAGGAAGCTGGGTCCCAAAGTGGGGGGGCACCGGAGCGGCTCAGCCGGGGGGGCTGTGCCATTGCATCCTGGGGGGGCCTGGCCAGAAGTAGAATGTGAGGAGGTTATGGAAGCTGAGGAACACTCCTGATTTTCTTTGCCTATTTTTCTGTCAAGGATTCAAGCAGCTGTGCCCCCTGTCTCCATGCCCCTGAGACAGCTGGGCGGGAAACCCCTCAGCACCCCTCCTCAGCTGGACTCCAGTCTCCCAACTATGGTGACCAGCCTCCCTCCCTAACCAGCCCACCCCACCTAGTGCTCCGGCCCCAGCTTCCAGGGCTCCCCTGGGCTTATATCCTGGTCTTGAGATTTTCACAGAAACGACGGCTGCAGAAGCAAAGGTCACCACTCCTGCAGTTTAGAGGTATAACTGGGGTTACCCAGAGATGTATGTTGGGAGCTTTTTTGGAGATGTTTTTCCGGAGTAGAAACAGCTGGCTCCCCGGGCCCGCGTGTCTCATTTAGAATCATCATCCGGGTACCAGGTTATGTCAGGTCACCCTCAAATTCGGGGATCCCTGCCCTCGGGTTAGATAACTTCCCTGAGCGCCCCGGGAGGGGGGCGTGTCCCAGTCCCGGTCTCCACTACCCAGGACCGCAAGTCCACCGCGGGCTGGAGTCGGCCCGGCCCGGCCGGACGCCAGGGTGGCCAGGTTCTCCCGCCCGCGCTCCGCGCGCCGACCCCCGGCTCCCCGCCGCCTCCCCCACCCCAGCGCTCCCGCCGCCTCCTCACCAGTGACAGCTGGGGCCGCCGGGAGCCGGGCAGAGGCGGACGCGGGAGACCCAGGCAACAGCCCCGCGCGGGGAGGGC